AATTACCAATGATTAAATACAGTAGTCCTGTTTATAAAGGAGTAATTTAAAAAAAAGTGAGTAAAAAAGAAACGCTCAGTGTATCACAGGATGTCCCCCAGCAGCCTAATAAATAATCTGTGTGCTGTCTCCAAACTGGGAGCTGGTTCTGTAGAAGAGGGATAGCTGAAAGCTCTGCCTCCCAGTCTACTTTTGAAAAGTCTAGGAGAGACGGATGGGATGGAGTTCTCCACACAAGACCAGGATTTCTCCAGAATGTTTCCCAGTTATTTATGAAACACACACCATTTTTGGACACCACTGAGACAGTGAGAGGTTTAAGGAGAACATGACAGGAACACAAAGTAATAGAGTGAATGTACCATTCACCAACTGCTTTTCAGATTAGGGTTTAAAACAAAAACGGATAAAAACAGATCAAACAGGATTCAGACTCCTTCCCTTTTGCCAATTTTTTGACTTGAAATAAATAAAATGGAAATAGGGGTGGGCGGTATAAACTGTATATGGTAGAAATGATATAAATTTGGCCAACGATAGAGATTTTGACTATATCGCTCTACCGCGATAGCGCATGTTGATGGTGTCATCAAGCTGCGCCCGTTTTGGTCAAAAGCATTGCAGCCGCTGTAAACAACATCATCTGCAAATTATGCCTGGTGACAGTAATAGCAAAGAGACGAAGCACTTTTGGAATATGGGGAAAGCCAAAAACTGTGCTTCCTCTACTTCCCTACCATTGATTCATTACTGCTGAATTCTCTCGCAGCTGCTCTATTCCAATGTTGTTGCAGTATATTAATGACTAATTAATAGTCAGATCTGCAGTAACTGCAGGATATTTGTGCATGGATTATCTCAGTTGTTCTCCTGACTGAAGTTTGGTCCATTTATATCATCCTGCCATGCAATTGCATTTGTCCCTAACCATCAGAAACCCTCACGTTAACTTTTATCGAGTGGAAAAACATTAGCGGCCATCCGTCAGCTTCACTGTGCTAATGTTATGCTAACATAGCTGTTTTGCTAGCGATCACGTAGCACATCCATACCAACATACATACCAGCTAGTCCGACTTCAGTAACCCTACAAACATCACTGCTGTTTAGTTTTCCGTCTTCATTTATGTTGGAAGTGATAGCAGAGCTGTACGTTTGAATTTCTCCAGAAATCTCTCAGTCAGAACATGTCATATCATGTTTAGGTCAGAGCTAGCGAGCTAACGTCCTGCTAACTTCTAACTCAGTTAAATTTAATACATTCTGTTTTCATGGATGCCTGGATGTTAAACTTAATTGTTACACCTGGTAAAGCAGCAGCTGATCATTTTATTAAAGATGAAAGAATATAGACAGTTTTTAACTCTCAGTGATGCCGCAGTGTAGGGACCCAGATTACTCCGCGAGGCTCCTGACTACGGTAGCCGTAATCTCCAACAATCCATCAAGCGGTGCCCTTCATAGCTTACCAAAGTCGTACTAAAACATTTTTGACAGATTTCTGTGCGCCGTGTACCACATAAAATCGGTTCGAGGTCAGTAAGCACAACCAGAATTCATACATAAGGCACACTGTCGATTTTTGAGAAAATTAAAGGATTTTAAGTGTGCCTTATAGTGTGTAAAATACGTTATACAGAAGAAAAGAATATATCGCGATATATATCGTTACCGCACATGCTTCAAATTATACCGTGATATGGATTTTAGGCCATATCGCCCAGCTCTAAATGGAAATAAGTCCTTAAAGCTGTACTCTGCAAGTAAAAACAAGTGTATAAATAACTAAATATTATTACATTAACATTCAGACTTTTACAATCCACACGTGTTTTGATGTGAATTGTATGTTTTAATTACATTTTAGATGTTTGTAAAACTCTAAGTTTAACATTTAATTTTACAGGCTAGGAAGGGTTTAGAAAGACATGTGGTTTATGGACAATCCATCAATTCACATAGTCAAAACCAAGCCTTCATATCTAAGCAACTCTCTGAAGACCTAAATAATAAACTGCGGAGAAGAGTTTATCAAACAGCATGTGGAAAGAAAACTGTGTAGAACTCCAAGAATAGGTTAGAAGAGCATCGGGCACTAATTATCATTTGGATAATATACTGTATCTTTACAGTGGAGAATTTTTGTTCATACCGTTTTGTTTGTTGCTATCATTTCAGAGCTATGTCTGGGTCCAGGACTGAGCCTGACTCTGAGCTCCAGAAGGATGAAGAAGAAGAAGATGAGGAGGAGGAAGATACACTGCTGTGTGATGAAGAAGAGATGGATCTTCTTGGGGAGATCTTTGATACACTGAGCTCTCGTAGCTCCCATGACCGTGGCCTGCTGTACGGCACCCGCAGCCTGGATCTGTTTGGGCCAGACAGCCATGACTTTATCACACGGGTAAGAAAACGGGTACAAGTGTCCCTAACACACACAAGTGAATGCAATTTCTGATCTGTCTGTGTTTTCCAGCGTGTTCCAACCAATCCAAGCCAAGAGAGCTTGTCTCTGTCCATCAGTGGCAGTGGCAGCTTGCACAGCTGGAATCTGGAAACAACAGAGGAGTTATCAGATCTGACAGCAGACACTGACTGGCCATGCATGGACACTAGTGTACCAGAGGAGGAAGGGTTGGAGAATATGAATATGCAGTCAGAAAACAAAACAGAAGAGCCAAAAAATGGACAGAGGCAGGACGGAGAAAAACAGGAAGAAGTGACAGGAGCAATAAATGGGAATCAAGCAGAGGAAACTGATGATCAAAATAAGTTTAAGGAAGTAAAGTTAGAGGAAAATATAGAGAAACAAGATCCGGGAGAGGGTGTAAGTTTATGGGAGGACCCGGTTAATGAAATATGTGCCAAGAGCGATGAAGGCTTAAAAGAAAACAAAGAGGATGAGCAAAATCAGACAGAGGAGGTAATTGCAGAACCTGAGATGGAAAGAGAAATACGTGAAAGTCCAAAAGCAAGAGAAGAAGAAAAAGAGAGCCAACTGGAGAAAAATGAGGAGGTAAGAGGATCTTTAAGCAAACTTATAAACCCAAATCCTAAACATCCCAACTCTGTTGAAGAAGAGCAAAATCAAGGGAAGGAGGCAGTTCCAGATACTACAGTCTCTCCTGGGCCTCAGATTCCTGCTGTTGACCCTAACCCTACATCAGTTCAAGAAAAAAAGATTGAAGTAGCTACAGAAAAACTGGAGCAAGAGGTAAAGCAGACCCCCTCTCCTCCTAAAGTGCTATCTGCTGCAGCACGCTTTCAGTCTCAAGGATCCAGCCAAAGCTTCCAGGTAAAGTCCAGGGTTAAGGCCTTCACTGAACCTGGGAAACCTTGCACTGTGTTCAGAAACAGGGAGAATGCACAAATGCCATGTGACTCAAATACATCAGAAACAAACAACCGCACGGAGGAAGCTGAAGAGGAAGAACGACCTCCAGTCAAAGTGTCAGAACTGAAGAAGAGATTTGAAGCTTAAACAATGCTGGTTACATTCTAGTTTTTGTTACTTAAAATCCAATTAAATTGATACATTTGGTTTCTCTCTGCATTTCCCCTGCTTCTCCGTTACTCTTAATCCCAAGCCCATTTGGTTTTACTGAAAATATAAATTATGAAATAAAAGTCAACAATGTAGTGTTATTTAAAGGCTGACCTCTGTAAATTGTAGCAAATGTTACTCAAATGAGGGTGAATGTTGCACTTGGGGATAAGTTTCAGATGAACATTTTCTGCATTAGTATTTATGAATATAACAAGCTGCAGTGTATACAAACACAAAGTAATGAAAAAAAGAACAATGTTCCCATTTTAAGTAGTTTTGGACTTTTTAAAGGCCGTCTCTCTACAATAACAAAAACAATACTGCCACACTCTTACAAACTGGCTGTTTTCTTAGTATGTAAACACATTTTATTGCTTGTATATTTTATACTTGGTGAAATGGTTAATTACTTAGAATTAAGACAGCATGGCTGAAATAAATAAGAAGAGAGTAAGAAAAATGCATGAAAAACGTTTTTCCTGTTGCCTGCTGGGAGACCAATTTGTTACTGAAAGAAATTTTTTTTCTTCAAATGTATTTGTGTGGAAAAGGCATGCTATCCATCAGATTCTTTAATAAAAACTGACGCATTCTGGGTATTTACATTTTGCGACCATTTCACTTACGATCTGAATAACCTGAACTTGAATAAAATAAATACTTTGAAAACTGCTTCTCAGCTTCAACGCTCCAAGACGATGGGCAACAAGCAGGAATACTTAGTGTGCACATTGCAGTTTATTTACATAACACCTTGTGAAACATGCATTTTGATTTGTTTTAGATTAAGTTGAGCTTTTCCTAAGTTATATGAAAGTGCATCACAGTCAATCTTTTAAATCAATATTTCTTATAAATGCAAAAAACGTGTAAAAATATACATTTTTATATATAAATACACAGAACAAGCCACACAGAAAAAATACTAACCTGCGTACAAATACAAAGTGTTATTTAACTCATGTTCCTTGCTCATGTGGCAGAATAAAAGGGAGTGACTTGTTTACATTGCATTGCACAAACCTCTCTCTTCTCTTCGTGCAGTGAAACAGATGATAGAATAAATTTAGAGGTCTGATCAGTCTTTTGTTGTCACTGGCTATTAGAAGCTGCAGCACAAATAGCGTTTAGTTTACTTACAAACTGCTGCTGCAAAACATGATGATCTAAGCACAGGATCACAGGAAGCCATCAGTTATAAGTTCATAGCCTGACAAAGTATGTGAGGACTCATATCAGACGTTCTTCTTTGGGCAATGGTAGGGGCAAGCCAGGTTTTTCACAACCCGCTGACCTTGACTGTTTCTTCTCCACCGCACTGGGCTTGTATGTTCCCTCCATGCTTCTTTTTTTCCTAATGACGCAAAGTAGCAACAGCGTAGTCAAGCTGAGCAGGGACAGCACGGTGGAGACAAACACTGGCACCATGGGTGAGATCGACACCTCCGTGGCCATGCTGAGGAGAGAAATCACAAACTTTTAAAGTCATCAATACGTAATTTATAACATCAACATGAAAGAAGTTGTTACAACCTCTAAGGGTCAGTTGTTCCAACAAGTGTTTCACATTTGCGCACTGGAGGGCAGTTACCTCAGTTACTGAATTCAGGCACCCTAGTGGGGATGCACAACAGTTTTTTTTTGTTTTTTGTTTCTTTAACCAGAAGCAAACAAAAGTGAAAATGTTAATTTAGACTGTATGATTAATGATCAGCTTAGAGGAAAACCGCATATTGGGTCAGTTGAAAAATAAGTTGAGAGTGTTTAAAATGAGCTCACCTCCCGATAGAGTAGAAAGGATCATTCAGGTCTGCAGGATCTGTTCTTACATTTGCACCATGTAACTGTGGAGCATTAAAAAATTATATATATATATATATATATATATATATATATATATATATATATATATATATATATATATATATATATATATATATATATATATATATATATATATATATATATATATATCATTCAGCCGTAACATTAAAGACACCTCCTTAATACTGTGTCTTTTGGGTCATGTGTCCTGTGCACCAGGACATTGGAGAGTGCTTGATCTGTGCCAATGCTTTGGTGGATGCTATAAGTAAACATAACATTTACATAAGTGCCAGGACCCAAGGCCTTCCCAGCTGTGCCCCACACTGCAAAGACATTATTGTTATCCACTTTACACATCAGGACTTTTACTGTTGTGGCAGATCAGATACGTTTAAAACATATATGTAAAATAGAAGAGACTGTCATGTTTAACACTTTGTATTTACGAGTTTGTGATCACAAGTCATTATTTGCCTGAAAAACAAATTGTAAGAAGGGTTTAAACTGTTTACAAAAAATCCCAAGCTGCAGCACATCCATCCAACCTGCTGAATGCCTGAATCCAATTCAAGATAGCTGGAGTGCTGGAGCCTATCCCAGCTACCATAGGGTGAGAGGCAGAGTACACCCTGGACAGGTCACTAATCTGTCGCAGGGCTAACACAAGAAGACAAAATCATCCACACTCACATTCACACTTACAGGCAATGTAAAATCATCAGTGAACCTAACTGCATGTCTTTAGATTGTGGGAGGAAAGAGAGAGATACTTAGTCTCAAATGTACTTCAATTTAAAACACCGCAGCCAGAAAACCTGTGTGACATGACAGGCACATACCTTTCAAGGAAATCTTCCTCTTTCATTCCATAACCACTTGGAATACCAAAAGAAAGAGCTTATCACAAAATGTTGGATGAGCTCATTTTTGCGATTATATTTTCATGGCAAGAATCGCATGATTTTGAAATACTAATAAACTAATCAAGCAAAAAAAACATACACTAAAGCATTGCTGTTTAACCAATTTAGTCTAATACAAAACTACTTGACCAACTTGAGGTATAATTATGAGATACAGACACACCAAAATGTGTGGTTTACAAGCCAAAACCCCCCCGCAAACTTCATGTTACAGGAATGCCATTGTACTGACTTCCACTACATTCCTTGGGGGTGTATTCTTACCACTATGCAAACAAGGACCTCAGCCACTGAAAGTTAGCAGAAAGGGAAGCAATTTAGATTTGCTTTTTCTTCTCAGAATACTGTGCAACCAGCTTATTAATTTAGAGTGCTATTCTACTAACAATACTGTGTTAGTAGTGGCCAATATTAACAACAGGAACTGAATTTTTTTATTGCGCTTTCATTGTTTCCAGGTTCTCAAATGTGAGGAATGTTTGCCTTCTTTGGTTTTGTTACGTGATAATAAACCTATTATTCGGAATATAAAAATAGGTCAAATTGAGCCTAACCTAGTTCTCACTCCCACTTTTAAAGCATCAATGAGCAAATCCAGTGTATGGACTTTGCTGTAATTGGATCTATGGCCCTCATAGAAAATCCTTAATCATACCAGACTGGGACACTAGGCTACAAAAAACTATTCTAAAAAAAATCCGTGGAAGATTAAGCGTTACACACTGAAAAGGTAGTTAAGAAAATGTCCCGAACTCACCATAAATGTCCATATATATATATATAGACAGGAGATGCCGAACAACTCCCAATCTTAAACCTCAGTCTGCAAAGTGTAAAAAGTCTGCTCCCCATAAACCACTTAGACCAACAGACACTGACACACCCACCAAAGTTTAACATTGCCACGGGCTGACGTATGTCTCTGCCCAGGGCAGGATGTCACAGATCCCGAAACACCTGTTTAACCGGTGTCCTTCCGGCTCAGGTGAGCCCGCTGTTGCTCTGAACTGTGACAGGTGAAACCGCTTACAGCCAAAGGAATGAAGGAGCGCGTGCAGCCTCACGAGGAAGATCAGACCGTTGGGGTTACAGCTGCGTTCATAGGCCAAGGATGAAATTTGGTATTTACCTGCCGGTTAATGGGTATCCAGGTGAGACGATCAACGTTGTAGTGGCACCCTGTTCAAAGTAACACGCTCCCGGAAACCGAGAATGCTCATAGTCTGAGAGACAGATGTCGACGTGTTCGAAGCATACTGAAAGTATTCTGCCCCACTCACCTGTCGTATTCAAATGAGCCTGGTCACATGTCCTCTCTGCACCAATCAGAAACACACTCCCCTTTTTTTTGCTTTTTTCCCCTCAGGACCTCAACAGGACCTGGAAAAACTAGTCCATGCATTCATCTTTAGTAGGCTTGGCTACTGTAACAGCATCTTTACAGGTCTACCTAAAAATCAGTCAGACATCTGCAGCTCATTCAGAACTCTGCTGCTCGAGTCCTCACTAAGACCAAAAAAGTGGACCACATCAGTCCAGCTCTGAGGTCTTTACACTGGCTGCCTGTCCGTCAGAGGATAGACTTTAAAGTTCTGATGCTGGTCTATAAAGCTCTGAATGGTTTAGGACCAAAATACATCAGTGACCTCCTGACCCAGTATGAACCTTCCAGATCCCTCAGGTCATCTGATCCGGTTTTTTATCAGTTCCCAGAGTCAGAACCAGACACGGAGAAGCTGCATTCAGCTTTTATGCTCCTTATATCTTGAACAAACTCCCAGAAAGCCTCAGATCAGCTGAAACACTCAGTTTATTTAAATCCAGGTTGAAGACTCACCTATTCTCAGCTGCATTTCACCAAATCCACACTTTTAAGCTTAAATTTCAAAACTTATATTTTAACTACTGATTTTATCTACTGTTCTGATTTTATCTACTGTTTTTTAATCAATTTTAAATCATTCTTTTTATTGTTTTTGTTTTTTAATGTCTCTGTAAAGCACTTTGAATCACCTTGTTGTTGAATTGTGCTATATAAATAAACTTGCCTTGCCTTGCCTCTATATTTTCCTATCTCCTATATATTCCTATCCTATATTTTTTGCTTTGTTTTTTTTTTTAGCACAAGTCACTAAGCTTACAACCAAAACAAAAGTAGGTAATATTTGGTTTATTTGCTTTGACAAATACAAATAATCACTCAGTTGATGTATAGAGGGTTAGGCTTAATAATTAAATAGAAAAGTCCTTGTGTGAGTTTACAAAGCTGCTGTTTGTCTGTGCACAATCTACCCTGTGGCCTACTTTCGTTATTACTGAACAAACGAAACTCTGATTACCAGAAGTCCTGGTGTGCAAAACAAAGACACATTATGCCAGATAAATAGCCTGAATTAAATCTTATGAAAAAGTAAAATGAAAATTATTGATTATTGAAAATATTGATATCTGACTGAGCCGGCTGCTGTTAGACCATAAATCAAACAAAAGTGGTGACCACACACAGCCCTTAGTTTCATTAGCCAAGACTCTTTTGTTTCTGTTTAAAAAAAATGCAGTGAGCCAACACACTTTGCTAAAAAAAAAAAAAAACACATTAAAATTAGGTAGGAGTCTTTGTGCACGACATAACAGATTTAATAGAGCAGCAGGAGTATACTTCACTCCCCTCTTTGCCCTTCAGGCAAACTGTAAGGAGTCCAACATGTTTGTATGTAAAATGTGCTCTATTTCATTATGTTCAATTGCATATCACAATATGCGGGTTCATTCCACTGCATGTGGCGAATAAACTTTGAACTTGAACTTGAACTATTAGTGTAAACGGCATACTTCAGACTGGAGGACACATATAACTGGATAAGGGAAAAATAATGGATGGATGAATAGAAATGCAAAAAATAAAAAATATGGAAAAATGTGCTTATGGTCAGAATTTACACATGAATTTAAAAGAATGAAAACCAAAAAACCCCTGCTAAATCCAGGCTGCTTTTGGATATATATTGGTATTAAGTTATTTTTTTCCTTTTTTGTTTGTTTTTAGCATACTTTGAACCCCACAGCATCAACTGACCATTATATAAATGCCACCGCCTTTAAATGATAAGCACTGTGGAGGATCATTAACTATGCTCTGCCCTTCTTTTAATGGTTAATGTGGCACAGAGAATTGCATTTATTCTGAGGGTAAAGGCAGGATATATTTTGCTTTCTTTTCTTTCCCTGTCAGTGAAATCCTAAAATAGAGGATATCATATCCACTATATTAAATATGTCAGATTGTTACTGTAAAAAAAAATAAATCCATGAAGCCCAGCCAAATATGTCCTGTAAAGTTACTCAACACGTTTTGATCAGACAACTTGTTTGATTATTTTTACATACTGGTGAATATTTGGGTTCAAAAGAGGCAAAACAATAATATGAGCAATAATATGAGATTTTAGAAAAAAGAAAAGAAAAGAATATTTATTGGATCCTGTGAACTAATTACTAAACTGCATGGTAAGACATAATTTAAACATGTAAACCTTTATTGATTTTCCAGTGTTTACTTGTTTCTTTAGAGAAGAGATAATCAGGTCTAAACTGTTTCCCAACCTGCTGCTGGGAAATTGTGTGTACGTGTGATTGGAAAGAGGATGAATAGACATTTTGTGGGAGTGCACTAGGAGGGAGGTTAGTGAATAAAAGAAGGATGCCGCACGGCCACGGTTTACTTTAGCAGCAGAAAAAGATCGGGATAATGAGGAGGACTCTGCTGCTGCTGGCCTCTCTGGCCTTTGTTTCTCTCACTTCTGTGGCTGATGGAGCTTCATTGTAAGTAGACCTGCTGTACTTTTACACATTCCCAGTAAGGTTGAATTAAGGGGCGACCATGGTTCAGGGGATTGGGAAGCTCCGGTTTGATCCCCCTGCTTTCTCTGTCCTGGTCTTTGTGTTCCTGTTGGCTAGAGGGGCCGATGGAGTGATATGGCACCCTCAGGGCAGCTGTGGCTACAACTGTAGCTTGCTTCTACCAGTTTGTGAATAAATAGTGGCATTGTAAAGTGTTTTGGGTGCAATCCAATATTATGATTAATCATTTCATGCATGAATTATGACAACCTCAATCAGGACTTTTTCTTAATTATTTTTATTCATCTTTTCATGCCTAAAGATGAATTAAAATAATTCATCTTAAGAAA